CCTGGGTTCAGGCAATTCTCCTGCCTCAGCCTCCTGAGTAGCTAGGATTACAGGCACGTGCCACCATGCCCAGCTAATGTTTTGTAATTTTAGTAGAGACGGGGTTTCACCATGTTGACCAGGATGGTCTCGATCTCTTGACCTCGTGATCCACCCGCCTCGGCCTCCCAAAGTGCTGGGATTACAGGCTTGAGCCACTGCGCCCGGCCTTTTTTGAGTTTTTAGTAGAGACGGGGTTTCCCATGTTGGCAAGGCTGGTCTTGAATTCCTGGCCTCTAGTGATCTGCCCGGTGGCCTCTTAAAGTGATGGGATTACAGCAGTGAGTCACTGAGCCTGCTTGCCTGGGTCCTTTTTCATTCATTGTGTTGCATACTCATTCGGCCTTTTTAATTTGGAAGCTCATGTCTTCAGTTTTGAGAAACTTTTAAATAATATTTTTCATTTTAAAAGAATTTTTTAAGAGATGGTGTCTAATTCCATTGCCCAGGCTGGAATACAGTGGTGTCATCATAGCTTACTACAACCTTGAACTCCTGGGCTCAAGTGATCCTCCTGCTTGAGTTCCCACTTAAATTATTTTTCTAATAATTTATTATCTTCCAGTTTCTCTGCAGTTTCTGGAACTATAAATTGGATATTGGACCTCTAAGATTGAGTCTCTATTTTTTCGTCTTTTCTGTCCATGTGTTTATCTCTTTTTGTTCTACTTTCTAAATTTAAGCCTTTTAATGGATTTAAAAACTATTATTGAGTTGTTATTTTTTTCAATTTTCTCTTATAGTATTTTGGTGGTGTTTCTTGCATATGCTATCTCATATCTCAGGGTTTTAAAAAAATAAGTTTACTGTTACATTAGTGGCTTTTTAGGAGAAAGTAGAAACATGTACTTACTCTACTGTGTTTAAAGGAAGTTTTTTTGTTTGATAAAAATAACTTTTTTGAGACGGAGTTTCGCTCTGTTACACAGGCTGGAGTGCAGTGGCACGATCTCAGCTCACTGTGACCTCCACCTCCTATGTTCAAATGATTCTCCTGCCTCTGCCTCCTGAGTAGCTGAGATTACAGGCACCTGCCACCGTGCCTAGATAATTTTTTCTTTCTTTCTTTCTTTTTTTTTTTTTTTTTTTTTTTTAGTAGAGATGAGATTTCACCGCATTGGCCATGCTGATCTCAAACTCCTGACCTCAGATGATCTGCCCGCCTTGGCCTCCCAAAGTGCTGAGATTACAGGTGTCAGCTACCACATCCAACCAATTTTTGTGTTTTTAGTAGAGATAGGGTTTTACCATTTTGGCCAGGTTGGTCTTGAACTTCTGACCTCAGTTAATCTGCATGCTTCAGCCTCCCAAATTGCTGGGATTACATGTGAGCCACCGCACCTGGCCAAAAATAAGTTTTGAGTAATAGCACAATTAATTGCCACTAGGAAATAATTTGCTGCTAGATTATACTACTTGATTCCTAATGTCACTTCTTAACTGGGAAGCCATACAGATGTTTTGTGGTTATCCCAAATTCAGACTTAATGAAATATCCAATTCAGCAAACTCTTTTCTGGTAAGATGGCATGAAATAAATAGAAGTAGTACAATTTGAAGTAAAGTATACAAGTAGAAAATGAAACACAGAGTTTTTTGAAGTGCTTTTGCTATAGTTTATATAAAGTAATGCAGTCTTGTTTGTGTAATTTTATAGGATGATTTTTCAGGATTGTCACCCTACGAAAGGAAGAGACTGAAGAACATATCAGAAAATGCAAACTTTTTTGCTTCTCTTCAGTTGTCTGAGGTTTGTGTGGAGTCTGTATTTAAAACTAAGATGCAGGGCTGGGAGCAGTGGCTCACACCTGTAATCCTGTCACTTGGGGAGGCTGAGATGGGTGGATTGCTTGAGGCCAGGAGTTCAAGATCAGCCTTGGTAACATAAGGAGATCCCCCCCAATCTCTATAAAAAGTAAATTAGCTGAGCACAGTGATACATGCCTGGAGTTCCAGCTGCTGGGGTGGCTGCGGTAGAAGGATGGCTTAAGCTTGAAAAGTTAAGGCTGCCGTGAGCTATGATGGTGCCACTGCACTCTAGCCTGGGCAGCAGAGCAAGACTGTGTCTCAAAGCAATAACAGCAACAACAGCAATAAAACCCAAGATGTCATAACTCCCAACAGAAGGTCAATAACATATCAGGTTTCATAATGTCAGATGAGGGAGTGTAAAATAGGAGCAGGTTTTCTTACTAACAGCTCCTGTTAATAAGAAAAGGTTACTGTATTCCATTGATTCTAAGGCCTTATTTTCATTTTTTTGTCTTTTTTTTTTTTTGAGATAGGGTCTTGCTGTGTTGCCCAAGCTGGAGTGCGGTGGCACTGATCATGACTCACTTCTTATCTTAACGATCTTTAGTTCCTGAGTAGACCTTAGTTTAGTTTGGGCATAGTAGCAGATACTTAATATTTTAAAAGGTAAGATATGTAGTTATAACATTTTTACATGTTTTTTATACTATACAGTCTGCTGCAAGACTCCGTGAAATGATAAAGAAGAGACAGCCTCCTATATCCAAGAGGTAAAATACCTGGTTTGCAATGCCTAAACAGTGATACAGTGTTCAGTTGTTTTATAATTTGAAAAAAATGGTTTGGCATAGTAAGCTTAACAGATCATAAAGTGTTGTTTAATCTCAGTCACTATAGGATCTCTGAGGCAATGCTACCCTTTAATAACTTCACAGTTCTCATTTTTATCAAAGGAATATGGAGCAAATAGAATTAAGAGCTGAATTTTGTTCGTTGTTGCTACTAATGGAGGAAAATCTTCACTTCCACTAAATTGTTACCTAGAAAGCTATTATACTTTTTTTTTTTTTTGAGGCAGAGTCTCACTGTGTTGCCCAGGCTAGAGTACAGTGGTGTGATCTCGGCTCACTGCAACCTTTGCCTCCTGGGTTCATATGATTCTCTTGCCTCAGCCTCCCAAGTAGCTGGGACTACAGGAGTGCGCCACCACGCCTGGCTAATTTTTGTATTTTTAGTAGAGATGTGGTTTCACTATGTTGGCCAGGCTGATCTTGAACTCTTGACCTCGTGATCTCCCCACCTCGTCCTCCGAAAGTGCTGGGATTACAGGTGTGAGCCACCGTGCCCAGCCATAATTTACTTTTTTTTTTTTTGAGACGGAGTTTCACTCATGTTACCCAGGCTGGAGTGCAATGGCACGATCTCGGCTCACCGCAACCTCCGCCTCCTGGGTTCAGGCAATTCTCCTGCCTCAGCCTCCTGAGTAGCTGGGATTACAGGCACGCCCCACCACGCCCAGCTAATTTTTTGTATTTTTAGTAGAGACGGGGTTTCACCATGTTGACCAGGATGGTCTCGATCTCTTGACCTCGTGATCCACCCGCCTCGGCCTCCCAAAGTGCTGGGATTACAGGCTTGAGCCACCGCGCCCGGCATAATTTACTTTTTTTAAATGCGAAAATAGTACATAAAAAATAGGGAATGTATACGATTTAAAAAGTAAACTGTAGTGTATGGAAGGGATGCAGTGAAACGTTTAAGTTTCCTTCCTATTTTAGACCTTAGTTTTCCAGGTCTTTTCCCTACAAGTAGTAGTTTTATGTGTATTCCTCCATAGGTAACCTCAGCATGTACAAATGTATATGTATATGTAACCTTTTTGTAAACATATACTGGACTTTGCTTTTGCTTTCATTTTTGCTTTTTTTTTTTTTTTTTTTTTTTTTTTT